AGTGCACAAAGGTTATTTTTTTTGTTGCTGCACGCTTTAGTGTACAAACTAAATAAAGTTCTGCACTTGGACCATATCAAGTCAAAGCGCAGAACCTTCACTGCACATAGACTGTTACAATGAAAGACGCATTGCGTTGCTCCTACGGCTGTCACAGTTCGTTAACAGACTGTAACTACTCCGTTAACAGAGTGTACACATTGACTAAGTAAGATTTAGGCACAGTTGGTTTTACAATCAACATGTTTTACAATCAACTGAGGGTTGTGGTGGTCAGACTTCATTTCTTCCCTCAGGGGTTCACTGCTCGTGTGTGACCATTCGGCGAATTTTATATGCCAAAGTTTTTAAATAATATTGGGCCTAGCCCGTAAGGGTTAGTGTTACGGTCATCGAGCACGACTATTTTCCTAATCGCAATTACTGTCACCGAGAGAGGCTAGCTTTTTAGTCATAAGTCAGTTATAAATCCATGCATAGGTGTTTAATCCATCATGGTTTTCTGGAGTATGGCTGGGCTTGCTTGGTTTAGTTCAGAGACAAATCTTTTACACTGGTTACTAACAATACAAGACTCTACTGAACGGTATAAACAGCACAGACTTACACATTACACCTATACACCCTTATGCACATACAGCCTGTTTACATCTTTTGCATGCTTTTTGTTTTTTCATAGATAAACTTTGTTTGAACTCATCCTTATTTAGATAATATTTTCTTTTAATAGATATGTTGTTAAAATGTAGATACAGATTTGTATGTTATCTATATGTGTTTATCATGTGTGATTACATTTTTCATTAAAGGATTCATCTGAATTTACATATAAGTATAAGAGCGATTCTTATAAACTAGCGGCATTAGACTTGTTTTTATGAAGTATGTTTTTCCTTGTTATTTTGTTATGGTCTCAAAGTTACATTTAATTCGGACCGTAGAGAAAACTTTATTTTTCGGAAATTTCGATTTAGATATGGTCTCAAAGTTACTTTTAATTCGGACCGTAGAGAAAACTTTATTTTTCGGAAATTTCGATTTAGATATGGTTTCAAAGTTTCTTTTAGTTCGGACCGTAGAGAAAACTTCACTTTTTAATAATTTTTTTTCCCGCTTTCTATATCGTTTTTATATCACGATTTATATCATTGTTATAATACCCACAACTAATTTTTTAACCACTCATTTGGCTTAAAATTATCTGGTTTCATTACAATATTTATTTAGTTTTATTTATATATATATTAACATTTTACTTATCTCCTGATTTTCATATTTACTGTTTTCATATTTACTGTTTACAGAAACTTTCATGTTATATTATCTTGCATTCATTACTCAGCTTTGTTTTATATTCTATTTAATTTTCACAATTTTTATCTTTATTATTATTCAGAGAATATTTTTATATCCTTCATTTAATGTTTACACATATGTCGCTTACATTTTTAAGGTTTTTGTGCAACGTTCTTTTTCGCTATCATATATTATTCTATTATTGTTATAATTTTGGGTTTCGCGGGTTACTCATTTTCCTACACTTTTGATTGGTTATCATATTTCGAATGAGGTCTCTATGACAGCGTTAGAGTTTATTTAAGGGTATTGTTTTGTTTATTAAAAAAAATTTTTAAGGAGGTATACTGCTTTCTGATTATCTTGGGTTTGTTTATGCTAATAATACCTATTTGGTTTTATTTCTTAAAATAAATTGATTAATATTTTTATGTTTTTATTAGAATTTTAATTTATTTTGTTTTCATGTTTTCTTTTGGTGGTACGGTAAGTGTTTTATTTAGTTATTTTTATTTTTGTTGGTTCAGTAAATCTATACTTTTTATATCATATCATCAAGAAAAATATTGGTGCTTTACAAATTTGGGGTTGGTTGGGTGTTTGGCTATTTGTAGTGAGTCCTTTTTTACTGCAGTATGGAATAGGCGTAAGTCGCGGGGTAAAGCATAAGTGGCGATGACGTTTGTCTGACGGGATAAACTAGTTATAAATGCTGATCCTCATCGAAATGCCAGTAATAATAGACGCGACTCTGAGGAGATGTTTATTACTTATCACTACACTAATTATGTTTACACATTAGCATTTATGTTTTTTTTTCCATTATAAGTCCTTTCATTGTCGTTAGCATATTTTTAATTTGTTGAATAGTTTTTTGTTTTACAAAGTTTTGACTGGTTATGTATTTCTTGTATATTTTAGCTCATATTGGTAATTATAAAACAATTTTTTTTTTTTTTTTTTTTTTTTTTTTTTTTTTTTTTAATTTTTTATTTATATATAAATATATATATATATATATATATATATATATATACATTTTTTTTTTTATTATTTGTTATTATTTGTTTTTAATTTTTTTTTTAATTTTATATTGTTATTATGGTTGAATACTGTTTTGGTTGTATAGCTTGTCTTATTTATTTTTAAATATTCCTCTATTAATCTTTATTTTTGTCTTGACAACTGTCAAAATATGCTTTGTCCAATAAATAATTCTCCTTTATTCTAATGTACTTCATTTCTTCCCTCAGGCGTTCACTGCTCGTGTGTGACCATTCGGCGAATTTTATATGCCAAAGTTTTTAAATAATCAACTGAGGGTTGTGGTGGTCAGATTACTCTTTTAATTAAAAGAGAAAGTCTTCTCTAGAATTAAAAATTAAAAGGTATATCACAAAATTGGAGACCCCCTCCCCCCACTTGTAACATCTATTCAGAAGTAATTTTATTAATATCACTAGTATTAGTAGCAGAATTATCAATTAAAAAGTTTATAATTTTGTTGATAATGAATTGAGATAATAATCCATTGTTTATTTATGTATTTTTGGATTTTTAACATTTTCAAATGAAACTTGATTTGCATCTTAAACATTTATTCCAGAATAGTTGCTATTTACCTTAAATGACCATGTTTTTGTTTGGATATATTTCCTTACTCTTAAATGTACTTGTTAAACAGGTTAATTTTTTTTGCAATTAATGCGTTTATTTCACCTGCTTTTTAACATACTCATTATTTAACTTGTAAAATAGTACAGATTATAGAGAATAGTTAATGCTGTTTGAAAATGCTGTTTGATTTCATTTTTTTATTTTATACACCATAATGTTATATAATAATCAAATTTTTATATATATATATATTTTTAGTTTAATTTATTTGATTTTAAACTTAAAAAAATTAAATTTTTAAACCATTAAAACCGTTTTAAAAAAGAAACATTAAACTTTAAAAACTTTTCACATGATGTAATTTTAACATAAATGACAAACTTAAAAGTTGTCATTTATGTTGAAATTACATCATGTGAGAAGTTTTTAAAGAATAACTAAATAAAAAACATTTAACATTATACCAAAATATTTATATTTTATGCTGGCTTTATTTTACCTGTGTAAACTGACTTATTTAGGCATGAAGACAGGCACCATTTCTGTCGAAGCCTGTATATATGTGTAAAATAATAAAAGTAATAAAAAAAGTTTATATATATTTACAGCTTGTGGGCATTTCTTGGTGTGTCCACAAAAAAATTTGTCATCCTGATTCTTGATTAACCATTGGAAAAGCTGAAAAAGGAATTAGCTTGTGTAAATGAAATTTTCATTCTTATAGAATTAATTGGCCAAACTCTTGGAATCTTAATCATAAAGCTTTTTTATACTTATATTTTATACTTATATTATTATTTTTTATACTTTTTTATAGCTTATTTATAAAGCAAAAAAGTATAATCAAATTTTTTAACTTGAAATAAAAGTATTGAAATTTCGAAACTTTATAGAAACATAAATTAAACAATTTTTATTGTTCGGAAGTGGTATTCTTCTGGCTTTCATTAGTTGTTTTGTTCTCAATAAAAATTCAGCTTTTGTTGACTGATGTTTGATAGTAAATAGTTTTTGATCAACTTTAGTTTGGAAGATCTTTTGCCTTAACAGCAGTTACTGGAACTGTTAACAAGATTCTCAATGGGATACAAGTATTGACAAATATTTCTTTAGAATCATGTGTGAATTTAAATGTTAGAATATCTAGTGGATTTTTTTCATCAGTTTTTTGTGACAACAAACAAAATTCAGTCATCAGTTCTTCACCAGAAATTTTCCTTTTTGTCTTCTTCAATTAAAAATTCTTTCAACAAATTACAATTATCTTTCAATGATATATTGATGATGATATACAATGACTTTCTGTTAGGAATTTTAAATAAGAACTGAAACAGAGGCATGCTTCCAAAATGCTCTTAATGATTAGGCAGAAAAGTATATCAATAGTTTTTTTCTTAGACTTTGATCTGGAATCCAAAACAAAACTTGGTTTGCTTCAACTTCATCAAAAAACTTTTTTTCTTCCTGACTTTTTGTTGACAGATCTGTAAATTCATGTGTTAGAAGTTAATTTAGTTTACGTAATTTACAGTTTATAGAAGTAAACATACTCATCAAATTTGGCCTCATTGTAACTAAATTTAAAAAATTTAAAAACTAAATTTTAAAAATGCTAAAGTGGATTTTAATGCTTCTATAGAAATTTTGACATTTGATTAGTTTTGACATTCTTTACTTCATGCCCAATAACAATATAGAATATAGAAATTTAATATAAATTTTTTTGGTATAAAAGTTTATATTAAATTTCCCTGGACATTTGTTTTATAATATTATAGTATTACGCAGGCGTGGTGCAGTGATTAGAGTTCTGGCTCAAAACCCAGAGGTTTGTTGCCGGCTCTAGCCCAATAAGCAACTAGCTTTAAAATTATTTTTTTTAAACTAATTTTTGGTCTATTTATGCCACATATCTGGCTGTGTAATAAGTAGGCCATGATATTTGTTTTTCTTATTGAATTGCAGTTGCTATATTTTTTTTTGTATTTACCTGTGTATGCTGATAAAATTTATTTACATTGACTTATTCTAAAAGTTTATTTGTTATAATAATTTTTATTATCTTATAAATAACTTTTTAAAAATAGCTGTTCAATAACGAAACAAGGAGTAGTCACTATCAAGGTTGAAGAAGAAAGTGAAATAGCATGTCCTACATTTTGGAGACCGTGGCGCAAGTGTAAAATCAAAAAGTAAGTTTAATTTCTAGTTATTTTTATTGTGGTTATATTATTTAACTATATTAGCTTCTATTCTGTTTTATTTGGGATTATAAAATAAACTTTTATTAACTCTGCAAAGTTTCTATTGACAAAAATAAACCTTCTGTTGTCTATCATTTTTCTGATTTAACAAAGGCTTTAATTATATATATATATATATATATATATATATATATATATATATATATATATATATATATATATATATATATATATAAACACACACACACACACACTACCGTTCATAATTATTTAAATAGCATAAACGTTTTTTTAAAATGCTTTTTTTTATTTAACTAATTTTTATGTTTACTATTAGGTAACTTAAAAGTATTTTGGTTATAATGCTTTGATAAAAAACATAAAAATAAATAATAAAAATGCTAGAGTGGGCAAAACTACATAAAAAATTGACCATCAATGACAGTAAATGTAGACCGATGTGTCAAAGTTTTAAATCTTTGGTTTCAAGATAAGATTGTTTGTCAGGAAAATAATTGTTGGATTTATGATAAAACAGTGTGTGTTATTGATTGTAAAGCCAGGCTTGGTCGTGAAGCAGGTGCAATGGCACTTGATAACTGACCACGGAAATAATATTTAGTTGCGAAAAAAAAGCCAGATTTTTTAGTTGTTTTGAGAACATTTAAGTTTATATATGTTTCCTTGTTTGTCCGCAAAATAATATTTAAGTTCATTATTTTATCGTAAATTTTAGAATATTTTGCTTTACGGACTTACATGGAAAAATAAATAAATTTGAATGTTCTCAAACATCTTTGTGCGGTAAAATAAAAAAAGAATACTCGCAAACACAAAAAACCCCCCAAATCTACGAACGAATAACTCTATTGGTTCAAAAAAAACTAGCCAAAATTTCTAGAGTATTCAAAAAATACTAACTGAATGTTCTAGAGTATTCTGTTGAAATATTTTTAAAAATTGTATTATTTGATTTTTTTTATGTTTTCTTTGAAATTTCTAGCATAAATTGTTTTAAGAATATACTATCAACGAGCTATTATTTTAATACTATGGCTCATTCTCGAAGCCACATCTGCAATGCTATAAATGTTTTAAACTAACATTATTTGTTTATAAATGATGTTAGTTTAAAATAAATGTTTTAAATTATATTTTTTAACTTGTCAATATTTTGTAAATATATTATAGATTTTATTAGTATATTCTTATTTTTTATATGTAAGGGATGTATTTTTTATGTATGTAATTTATTTTTATGTATGTATTTTTTATGTATATAATTTTATGTATGTAATTTTATGTATGTGTATTTTATTTAAATGTAATCTTCAGCAGTATTGTGAAGCAGTTCCGCTTCCTCCTCACATAGTAATTTAACGTTTTTAGTTAATTTCTATCTAGCTAATTGACATTCTATAGTAACTCAATGATTTAATTATTTCATTTGTCAATCTTACTAAAAAGAATTTTTTCAAATGTGTTAAACTTTTCAATCTACACGAAGCAAAAAACAGTTATTGAAAAAACTTTTAAATCATCTAGCGTTTTATTGGTTGAATCTTGTTGGATTTTTCAGGGCCAGGGACTGCATTATTTTGGTGGCCTTTTGTGCCACAGCGTAAAAATGACTAAAAAATACCGAATGGTCCTCATGACTATTTCGGGGCCCTTAATATTGAGAGTCCTGGGGCTATAGCCTTTCTAACCCCCCCCCCCCTCTCTATCAACACTAGAAATAAGGCAAGTATATAAATAAAAATTATATATAATCTTTGATAAATCGAAGAACATTTGTTTCCTTATTAAACAATCATTAATAGTAAGTTGTTACTTTATATAAAAAATGTCGCCTAATTTAAAAAAAATAAATATATATATATATATATATATATATATATATATATATATATATATATATATATATATATAATATATATAAAATATATATATATAATATATATAAAAAATATATATATATATATATAATATATATATATATATATATATATATATATATATATATATATATATATATATATATATATATATATATATATATATATATATATATATATATATATATATATATATCAAGGTATTGTTTTCTTAATAAAATTTTTTTATTTTTTGTTTTGGATGATTATTTATACTCATGCCGCTCCTTCAAAATTTAAGATTTTTACAATATGTTTTTAAGGGCATTTTCAAACAATCAGCGTAAATTGAAATTTACAAATTATTAATTATGTAATAATGTCATTACAAATAATGGAGGGTTTTTATCTATACTAATTGTACGCATTTTTATTAGAATTATTTTTTGTTAACTGGTGGTATTTAAAAACACACAAGTTCCATATGAAATTAAAAAAATTTGGTTTTTAACAGGATAGCATTGAGGCCCAATACATAGCAATTAGAAATTTGTTAGATGTTTTTTATCTCATACAGTTCACCCACTTCAAGCCCTTGCTATTTAAAATGGGTTTGTACAAGATTATCTAAGTTTCCTAACTGACCACTATTCTTGTTTACCTCCTGCCATCATGTTGGAGAGCTTCATATAGCCATAGCCGTAAATAAGAACTGTTAAGTGGGAGAATAAATTATTTATATCATAAAACCATAAAAGGTTATAAAATAGTAAGGTAAAGATAAAACTACTTCACTTTAAAATACCTTTTTGAAAAAACAAAATGTATAAGTTTCTAATTTTAAAATTATTTACCTTTAGACTTTTGAGAAGTGCAGAGATTATTGTGAACTTGGGGAAAAATATCAGGCTGTTAGGTAAAAATTAACAAATATGGAGCTGTTTCACACACCTTAAATTTCATGAAGTTCAAGTTTCTAAAATCAAATTTTTATTCTGAGTAATAAAATACTCAAAGAAATAAATAGAATAGATGACTACATTTCTCTCTATAGGACATCGTGGTTTTTGACCTGTGGCTTTTCTGATTCTGCAATTTTTAAAGCAAAACTTAATTTCATAAGTTTTGACATTTTAGTCTTATTAAAAATAATTAATGTCACAAAGTAACAATTTTTTTAAAAACAATGGGTTGCAAAATGATTTAAAATCAGATGTAAAATAGAAAGAAAACAACTCTAAACCAATTTTTTTTTTGTAATGACAGACTTTTTATAAAATCAGTAGAAATATAATAAAAATGAAATCAATAGAAACAGATTTCGGTGTGGAAAAAAGCTTTTTTTGATTTCATTTTGTCAAAATTAAACTTAATAAGTTTTTTTTTTTTATTATAAACCTTAAAGGGAGGTTCTAAAAATTGAAAAACGGATAGAATCAAAGCTGAAATCTTTTTAAAAGCAGTTTTTATTGATAAAGAACAGCCACTAGGTCTTGAGTTGGGAATTTCACCAGTATTAAATTTTCATTTAATACTGGGTTATTTTTGATATTCTAGGTCATATTTTTAAAAAATGCAACAAATGCAACGGTAAAAAAAAATGCAAAAAATGCAACGGTAATCCCTCAGATTTTTTGAATACAATGAGTTATAAAACTTTTAAAATCTTTCAAAGTTATTTATGACCTGCTTGAAATGCACCATGTACAACATGTAAACCACATGATCCTTTACAACTCATCAGAAGCAAAATCGTAAATCTATTGATCATAGTTTAAGAAATTTGTTTCTCTAAACAAGAAATATAATTTTTGTTTTTAAAAATAAATAGCATAATATGATATTTATTTCTTTAACATTTCTTGTTTTAAAAAAACATTTTGTAATAAAAAATTAAATTTTGCTGTGCTTACAGTAAAATTTATTTAAGATAATGCAGAGCGTGTGATGAGCTTGGAGAAGCTTCAGAAGCTACTTCAAATAAAGATTTCTGGTAAAATACCATTAAAAAAGAAGAGTGGACTCAAGGAGCTAGCTATGGCGACTGCTTTCTTGCTTTCTTGTTATTAAATGGTTCTAATTATTCTTTCTTGCTTTCTTGTTATTAAATGGTTCTAATTGTGTATTTAATAAGAATTTTGAGTAACTACAAACATATAACTACAACTCTTTTTTACATATTTTCTTGATATTTGTCTTTAGCTGAAAATCTATATGTATATAAACAGGGTGGCCAATTGGAAACCAGGGAAATAAGGGAAAAGTCAGGGAATTTTTTTCTAGTAAGGGAAATCAGGGAATTTTAATTTTTTTTTCAAAAAGGAAAAAAATCTCTTTTTCAAAATTTAATTTTTTTTAATGTTTTATTTTATTTACTCCCAAACAACTATCAAATAAAAGAAAAATTTATATTCATTTTGCCATACATAAAATATAAAATATGAATGTTATTATATTATTACCTAAAGTTTGTTACATATCTTTGAAATATATAAATCTATCAAAACATATTATTTTATTTAACTATATTAATACAATGTTAATTTTTTCCAGGTAAATATTATAGAAATAATAAAAATGTCTAAAATAACTTACTTTGATAATGACTGGATCAATCTTGAATGTCATCCATCATAGGGTTGGCTTAAGAGAGCTGATGATAAAACAAAGGGTATGTTTTGTGTATGCGGAAAGACATTTTCCCTAAGTAATATAGGTATAATGGCAGTCAAAAATCATGAAAAAGGAGCAAAGCATTTAAAATATATATCTTCAAAAAGCCAACTAACAGTATTTGATTATTTTACTAGCAATTCACAGAAAAATTAACAGTATCACAAGCAACTGTTTAATCAACATCAACTTTAATAGCTTCTGAATCATTGCCATTAGCTTTCTGTCAAAGCCAAATCTTCTCAATGCCAATCGTTTTAACAAGTTCTTCCAGTACAATAGTGCCATCTTTCTCTTTATTTATAGCTCAAAATAATGTAACACGGTCTGAAATACTTTGGGCACTATAAATTACACAGCAGCATTTCTCTTACAGATCATGTTTGAAAATAGGACAACTACTTCTGTCTATGTTTCCTGACAGTTTTATAACTAAAA